ATAACTAATGAACAGAGGAAATGTTAATTTAGTGCCAGGAATACCTACATTGTTTATTCTGGACCATATTTTGAAATTGGAATACAATGGAACCTCTACTTGTGAGCGTGTCCACGTGCGAGTTTTTCCAAATACAAGCAGTCGATGGGTCGATTTTTTTGCTTCCATACACGAGCAAAATTTCCACAAGTGAGCAGACCTCAAGGCAGGTTCCTTGACACTGGTGAGGGGCTCTTGCTCTTGATCTCGGGAATTGTATCTCGTTTGTTTGTTGGACTATCTTATTGAAACTTGGGCAATGTATCATGGAAAGATGCTTCTTAACGTACACCAAAAATGAAAGAAATCTAAGCATAAATAATGGAGTTCGCTTCTTAGCAATTAGCCACCCCTTAGCGGTAATTTCAAATGGTTTTTATGGTTGTATTATCGTTTTTTTGGTCTCATTTGATAGAATGGAAGATATATTACAGAAATAGATATGATTTTGATTGCATTCACGACGAAAAGTGCCTTGAAATTGAGCTCAACCTAGGAGAAATGGTCCATTGTGTGGCTGTTTCAAAGTAAACAAATGGCGTCGCTGTCCATTCCAATATGCAGTCGTGAATGGGTTAACATTATTTATACAATTACAGTGGACCCCCGCCTTATGATCAGCTCCCAACTCGACCAATTATGTAAGTGTACAGTGGAACCTCAAATATCGAACTTTCTTCAGTCCAGAAGGCTGTTCGAGTGCCTTTACCGAATGAATTTATTTCCATCAGGAATAATTTAAATTAGATTAGTCCATTTCAGACTCAAAAAAATACACTTATAAAAGCACTTACAAAAATACACTTACATAATTGGTTGTGTTGGGAGCAGTTCGATTTTTGAGGTTCCACTGTATTTTTATAAGTGCTTTTGTACGTGTGTTTTTGGGGGTCTGAAATGGACTAATCTAATTCACAATATTCCTTATGGGAACAAATTCGGTCTATAACGGCACCCGAACAGACTTCTGGAAGGAAATAATATCGTAAGGCGGGGGTCCACTGTATTGCAATAAGGAATAACAGTAAATCTTATATTTTTTGTGTGAATAAAAATTACAAATTATTTATATAATAATAATAATAATAATATGTATAATAATAATATAATAGTAATAATAATATATGTATAATAATAATACATACATATAATAATTATAATAATAGACAGCTTCAAAAGGCCGTCACTAGGTGGCAGTGTTTACCACAACAAAGAGAGAGCGGTTGTGGCTTCCTTCACCTGTTACATAATGACATATTTTATTCATTCTAGAGTATATATCATGTTTCTATGTTATTTATATTGTTTGTTATGTCATATTAGATGAACTGTGATTTATAAATAAGAAGTATAGATGATGATAGTAAAATTATTCATGAAGTATTTTGCCCAGTCTCCAAACACTCGTCCACCGCCGACACCGCCCATACCACTTCATGAATGACATATTTTATTCATTTTAGAGTATATATATCAGGTTTCTATGTTATTTATATTGTTTACTATGTCATATTAGATGAAGTGAGATAGATAAATAAGCCTAAGAGTTGATATTAGCGAAATTATTGAAGTACAGAATTCCACTGGAATGGATTAATTGCGTTTCAATTAATTTAAATGAGGAAAATTGACTCTGCAAATGAGCAAATCCAGTTGCGAGCAAGGTCATGGAACGGATTAAACTCGCAAGTAGAGGTTCCACTGTATTTTGAACTTTGTGTTAAATTGGCCAAATTACCAATTTCCCATCACTATTTTGTAGTTGAAACAGTTGACTTGGCGATTTCTTGTGCTCAATCGATAGAATAGAAGTAATACTAGTGAAATAGCCAAGAATTTGGTCGACTGGAATAATGTAATTGGCCTAAAATGGGAGTCGGAGTCGGCAAAATCACTGACACATCAAAATTCGCAAGAGCATAATTTCGTCAATTTTCCATCAAATTTCGTACTTTTTGTTTTATTACCTTCACAAAAAGATTCTCTACCATTTCATAAGAAAAAATAACATTTTTTTTTTTTTTTTAAATTCTTGGACACTGGGGCACCACTTCAGATTTTGGCCTTGGACCCTGAAAGGGTTAAACAGTATCAAAGATGGTTGACACAAACCCACTACCATTATAGTATGCTCCTCACTTGGCGACAAATTCATTTACTGACATGGCCTTAGAAACGGAACTCCATCATGAAGTGAGGAGAGGCTGTATTCAAGCCTAGAAAGATCCAGTGAATTAGAGTATGTACATACTGTATATATCAACATCAGAAATACAGTGAAACCTCGGTTTTCATATGCCCTTGGTTGTATGTAAAACTATAGTTACTCTTTATAAAATGTATTTTTTTGTTAATATTTTCCATAAGAAATAATGTAAATCCAATTACTCCATTCCAGACACCCAAAAATATTAAAAAAAATACATTTTATAGAGAATAACTATAGTTTTACATACAAGTTATGGCATACAAAAACTGAGGTTACACTGTAATGTGTATACCATATTATGTCTCATCAGTTTTGGAAGCTCTTCTAACTTGTGCAGCACAATCTAAGAGAATGTGAAGGCTTACTCAGCCCTGTAACAACTTCAGACAGTATTACCAAGGCTGGCTCCTCCTCAGGAAAATTAATGAATAGAAAAAGAAATAATTCACAAAGATAAACACTATTATTTATTAATGCAAAGATAAAACATTGAAATATGAAGGTGTATCCTACTTGAAAGAAAAATGAAAAAAGAAATGGAAAAATGACATTTGAATTCAACGCTAATATGTACAGTTATACGTACTGGGGTGTCTGGTTGAGGTTGACACCGTCTTGTAGAAATTGTAGCTGTTACTGATGTGGGGGGGGGGTCACAGGTGTTGAGTGACAACCCAACGATTAGTTCTTCACAGAGTCTATAGCCTTGAATAGTCAGTCCAGATGACAGGAACGCTGGTTCTTTACCACTGTGAAGATGAGGGGTAGTCGTCTGCGGTTTACTGTAAGTAATCGGGTAGGTAGATCAATAAGTGACATCTCGGGACTTCTGTCCGTCTCCTTCAGCACTTCTCGTTGGTTGGCAGGTGACCCGATCTGTCATTCCAAGCTGGAAAGAGAGACAGGTTACCCACTGCTTAAGAAATCACTTCATGATAAGTGCAAGATACTTAACCCTTTGAGGGTTTTGGTCGTACTAGTACGTCTTACGCGTAGTGGTTTTTGACGTACTAGTACGCATAAATTCTAGCGGCCTCAAATCTAGTGGGAGAAAGCTGGTAGGCCTTCATATGAAAGAATGGGTCTATGTGGTCAATGTGCACAGTCTAAAAAAAATCCTGCAGCACACAGTGCATAATGAGAAAAAAAAAACTGACCATTTTTTTGGAATAAATCAGCGACTTTGCAGTGTATTTTCGTATGGTATTTATTGTTGTATTCTAGTTTTCTTGGTCTCATTTTATAGAATGGAAGACATATTACAGAAATTGAGATGATTTTGACTGGTTTTACAATGAAAGGTGCCTTGAAATTGAGCTCAAGTAGCAGAAATGTTCGATTTTTACCAAACTTCAAAAGTAAACAAATCGTGCCAAGCATGCAATACACGTCAACGGGTGAGTCTAATATTCTTTCACAAGTGCACAATAATATTTATACCATTTTTTACACTAATGCAGTAGTCTGCATAACAGTAAATCTTATATTTTTTGTGAGAATAAAAATTCAAAGTGGAAAGCAAAAGAATATAAGAGGGGCCTTGAGACGTGACTAATGACTAGAGGAAATGTCATTTTAGTGCCAGGAATGTCTTTCTTGTTTATTCTGGACCCTATTTGGAAATTGGCATCTTTTGAAATTTGTGTGAAATTGGCAAAATTGCTAAATTCTGACCACTTTACTGGATAGTTGAATTTCATAAATGGGTGGTTTCTTGCACCTATTCGATAGACAAAATGGAGTTCTAGCGAAATATTCATGTTTTTGTCGACTAGTACAGTGAAATTGGCCGAAAATGGGGCTCAAAGTGGGCAAAATCGCCGATGCGTAAACATCGCCGAGACCGCAAACTTTGCGAGAGCATAATTCCGTAAGTTTTCTATCAAATTTCAAACTTTTGGTGTCTTTATGATCAGGAAAAGATTCTCTATCCTTTCATAAGAGAAAATAATTTTTTTTTTTTTTTTAAATTTGGCCGACCCTGAGAACGAGTTTCGGAGAGGGCCTGTCGACCCTCAAAGGGTTAAAAAAGGTGGTGATTATCTAAAAGTCTCATGTGGAGCTTAAAACTGAAAGGACTAAGTTTATTATTGGTCAAAAGTGAAGCTTTCAACCAATATCCACTAGAATAGGAGCAGAGGCATTTACTTACAGTTGTGCTGGGAGCTGTGAGTCGAGTGATTACTGTTTGGCCGGAGCCCCACACGTCACCTTTCGGGGTGGGGAGAAAGGGGGGGGAGGAGATAGCGGGAGCTAGACTGACCCTACCTTAACAAGCAGCCGGCAATCAAACTATCGTTACTGTATACTCGCTCGCTACTCCTATCTGTTGAACTTTTCCCTCACAGAGAATTTAAACTTGCTTGGTGGCAACCAAATTTTTGCTACTTCTACTCTGTGTGCCAGTGTAATCATGATAAGCTGGAAAATGAGATTTTGTTTAAGAAATCAGTATGATCAAAATAGAATCATGTGTCTATTGATTTAAGATACAGTAAGTTATATACTGTACGTGTACTTGAAAGTATGTTTAAGATTATGAATACAAATGTACTAGTTATAGAGCTTATGCTACAGTAGAGAGTACAGTTTAGTAATTTGCATTTTGTTTCTTGCCTTTAGAAACTTCTTGTATAATCAGTCCTTCCTCATTTAACGAGATATTTTTTATAACGAAATTATTTCCACCATGAGATATATACCATAAGAATATATGAAAAATGTGTGTCAGGAATTCTTTTGCATTTTGCAGAATATCCATCAAGATGAGTGGTAGATACAGCAGAACATACAGTCGCAAAAAAGCTGCCCCACCCCCAATAAGCCAGTTTGACAAGTTGGTGACTGAGCCAGGCAGCAGTAACAGCACCAAACCTTCTGCAACGAAAACTGCTGGGCACGTTGGCAAATGGGGAATTACGTCATTTACATCACTACGAAGCATCAATGGTGGACTAGGTTAGTGTTTTTGGGAATTATATCGGGGAAGTTTCTGGAGAATGAATGAATTTAATCATCCAATCCTGAGCAATTCAAGTTCTAGCTTGGTGAATAAATGTGTAGTGAATTTTGCTGACACTTTTGTTATAAACTGCATTATACTATGTACTTACTTGTTTATGATTTATGCAGTATTAATGCTAATTTACTTGATAAAAGATTTTCTGTAATTATTTTTTGAAAACCAGTTGAATGGTTTATAATGCATAACTACAGGGTCTTTATTATTATTATTATTATTATTATTATTATTATTATTATTATTATATTTAGTAAGCTATTTGGAACATGGGGTTACTAGCCCATTGCTCCTGGCATTTTAGTTGACTTTTACAACATGCATGACTTAGAGGAAAGATTCTTATTTCACTTCCCCATGGAGATGAAAGGAATACAGTATAAGAACAAGAACTATTAAGGAAAAAGAAATCAAAGAAAGCCAAGATGAGTGTATACATAAATGTGTACATGCATGTGTAGTGTGACCTAAGTGTAAGTAAAAGTAGCAAGATATACCTTATTATGTGTGAATGATGGTGAAAGTGTTGAATGATGCCTCCGTGGGAGATGGCCGATGTATTGAAAAAAAACCTTCAGAAATAAATGTAACACATTAAAGAATGTATTTTTCAGAAATTAGATGCTATAGTCAGTAATATTTTATTCCCACAATATTACAAGGAGTGGATCAGCTTTGGGATTACATCTTGTAGCTACATGATAGTCAGCCCCTTGCTATGTGAAGCACTATGTGCAGGCTACAACTAGTAGCTACAGTAAACCCTTGGTTTAACAAACTAATAGGAGGGAAGCAGGTGGCTGGTAATAATGAATATGGTGGATCGTAACAAGAAAGGTCAGTTCTGTAACCGAGGAACTTTGTCCATTGTTTCAGAATCAGTTGACCCAGTGGATATTTTCCAGTATTACTGAGGTCTTTTAAATTGATACTTTTCTGTATTTATGAACTACAATGCAATCTCAGTTGATCCCAGTTATGTTCCTGGAAATTGACTTGTGATATTGCAAGTTTTTGGAGAGCATGCTAGGAAAATAAGGTTACATTCTTGGCACCTCAGATAAGGGCCAAAGAAAAAAAATGATCTTAATTCTTCAAAAATAATTGTTTTTCGTGCTTGTCTTTGTAGTTGTCATTGCTTGTTGTAATGAAAATGTTTGGAGAGGGTTAAGGTGGCTCTGTTAACCCTTTGACTGTCGCAACCCCCAATCCTGAGTTGTCATGTGGGTTTTCGAAAACGTGGATAGGGTAAGAATACTCACATAGGCTGGTAGTACGTATAATATAACGGAAAGTATGGAAAGCGCCAACAGCCGACCTGCCTCTCTCTGCTCTCTATCTTGTCTGACTCACAAGTGCCTATGGGTGAGGGGGTGTTTGAAATCCTGCTATGGTCAGCAGCAATATGAATACAGTCAGTGAGTCACGCAGAGACAGTTGGTAGTGAGTCATCTACTGGTACACTGGTTACTGGTAACTGGTTACTACTACTGAGAGCTCGGCGATGCTAACGTATGTCGTCCCAACATACAACTAATACAAACTAGAGATGGCAGGTGTACGGCTTGGGCTGATTCTATACAATGTCAAAGTACACAACAATTGAACATTACAACATACATAAGTAGAACATTGGAATGGAAGCTTACGTAACTGAAACTGTAATGCAATACAAGGTATAATATAGCACAACTCATCATATTCACTTATTCATTTTTTTTGTATATTCTTACAACAAAATCTTGCTGTGACTGATACGACAAAAATTGCTGGCAAAAATAATGGTACACAAGTCTGCGAAAAGATCAGAGAATGAGACACTGCTGGCATATGAAAAAAAGGTATACAGAAATAAACGGATAATTTGGTATACGACAAATACTGGAGAATACAATGCTGAAAGAATACAAAAAAAAAAAATGAATGAATTACTTCACACGGAGTGACTGACTGGTACACTACACAATAATACTTACTACAGACAGAGAGTAGCATAAAAAAAAAACACAGATAAAAATTATAAAAATGAAACACAAGAGATGAGCGATAACACTGAAAAATATTGTAAAAATAATGAGTCAAAGAAACACTGAGTCTACACTGAAAACACAAGGCTTAGAGTACACAAGAAATTCACTATAAATGTCTCACACACGCAAATGTCTTTAAATGCAAGAAAAAATGTCTCTAAACAGAAAATTATCACTGGAGTCTGAAGTAGTAGACGGTGATGGTGACGAGTGATGAGGTGAAGCTTGTCCTGCGGGTGATGCCGCCTACACTCACACTGTCGTCGGAAGAAATGCGCTTTCTCGGTGAGCTCACATAACTGGCTTTATCGTTGGCGCTCAGCTACGATCTCTTGACTAATTATGTGAGCCAAAACAGTACGAGGACCCGGTACAGAAAAACCCCACAGGTAGATGAGGTGGGTGGTGGGGGCAGCGGAACAAGCTGGCCCTGTGCGCTCTCACTGCCACGCACTTCTCACCACGCACAAGGTGGCTTAACTAAATCACAGTGCCACAGGGATGATGAAGACCACTCTTACCAGCATCCAAGCACAAGCGATACATGAAACAATACTTCAGAGGAACTTGCGTGGCTTACTTCTCTCTCTCAGCTGGGTTAGAAGCTGGGTTGGCTGACTGGCTTAACCCAAGAGAATGGCTGACTGGAAGACGTGTAACGATGCACACAGCATGAAGGAGCAGGTGGATGACAAGAGACAGGCTGGATGATAGGCTGACTGGCGTTCACTTCCACAGTCTGGCTTGGCTGGCTTAATTGCAAAATCCGGGTCAACCCCTCGGAGATTGAAGCAATTAGCACACGAACTAAGCCAGGAAGCTTGAAAAACGGCTGCAACAGGCTTGCAGGCTGGAGTACACAGGGTGGTGTGCTGAGGGTAAGCTGCTAGCTGGAGGTGGCAGATGGTTCACCTTTGACCTGCCAGCTCCCCACAAACAGTCTTCTAACGTCTTGAAATACCCTTAAATCCACACCCACACTGGTGCCACCATTTGTCATGTGGGTTTTCAAAAACGTGGATAGGGTAAGAATACTCGCGTAGGCTGGTAGTACGTATAATATAACGGAAAGTATGGAAAGCGCCAACAGCCGACCTGCCTCTCTCTGCTCTCTATCTTGACTGACTTACAAGTGCCTATGGGTGAGGGGGTGTTTGAAATCCTGCTATGGTCAGCAGCAATATGAATACAGTCAGTGATTCATGCAGAGACGGTTGGTAGTGAGTCATCTACTGGTACACTGGTTACTGGTAACTGGTTACTACTACTGAGACTGAGGTGTGTCTCCTGGTGTCGCAAAATTTAAAAAAAAAATATTTTTCTTATGAAATGATAGAGAATCTTTTCCTGATTGTAATGACACCAAAAAAACGAAATTTGATGGAAAACTGACGGAATTATGCTCTCACGAAGTTAGCGACCTCGGCGCTGTTTACAAATCGGCGATTTCGCCCACTTTGAGCCCTATTTTCAGCTAATTCCATTGTTCCAGTTGCCCAAACTCATAGCTATTTCTTTAGAACTCCATTTTTTTCTATCGATTGAGTACAAGAAACTGCCCATTTACCGATTTCAACTACCTAATAATGTGGTCAGAAATTTGCAATTTGGCCAATTTCACGAAAACTAAAAAATATGACCATTTCAAAATAAGGTCCAGAATGAACAATGCAGACATTCCTGGCTCTAAAATAACATTTTCTTTGCTCATCAGTCATGTCTCCAGGCCCCTCTGATATTACTCTTGCTTTCTATTTTGAATTTTTATTCAAACAAAAAATAGAAGACTTACTATTATGCAGACTACTGAAATACTGTAATAATTGTATAAATAACATCAACCCATTCATGACTGCATATTAGAATTGCTAGTTGGACATTTATTGGACAATGGCATCATTTGTTTACTTTTGAACAGTGGCAAAAATCAAACATTTCCCCTACTTTGAGCTCCATTTCTAGGTTCTTTTTATAGTAAAATCAATCAAGATCACCTCTATTTCTATAATATGTTTCCCATTCTATCAAATGAGACCAGGAAAACGAGAATAAAAACATAAATAGTATACGAAAATAGACCACAAAGTCGGCATTTTAATTAAAAAAAACGGTGGGAGTTTTTTTTTGTCTCATTATGCACTGCGTGCTCCAGGATTTTTTTATATGGTGCACACAGACCCATTCTCTCACATGTAGGCCTACCAGCTTTCTCCTGCTTGATTTGAAGCCGCTAGAATTTATGAGTATATATACGTCAAACACGGTACCTCGTAAGACGTATATATACGGCCTCGGCAGTCAAAGGGTTAATCCCTATACAAACATGGTGGTAGGCAATGCTGTATCAACTACCACCACAATCACCTACCACCATTATCTACTATCATGATTTCAAATTCTTGGGGAAAGTCAGCTGCTGACTGTATTCCTACCAAAAGAATACACTGAAAAAGCAACAAATTCCTTATTCCTCCTGATTGTTTCTACAGAAGTGTGTAAAGATGGTTGAATAGCCCTTCTGGGCCACAGACTTGATGGTAAATATTCTGTGACCACTTGATAACCTGGTGCTCTCCCCACTAGATCATAATTTCACTACACATTTTTTTTTATTTAATAACATTTTCATACTTTATCATCAATCACCATTATATTCAACAATTCTTTCTTTCAACACACCGGCCGTATACCACCGAGGCGGGGTGGCCCAAAAGGAAAAATTAAAGTTTCTCCTTTTACATTTAGTAATATATACAGGAGAAGGGGTTACTAGCCCCTTGCTCCTGGCATTTTAGTCGCCTCTTACAACACGCATGGCTTACAGAGGAATTCTGTTCCACTTCCCCATGGAGGTAAGAGAAAATAAACAAGAACAAGAACTAGTAAAAAAATAGAAGAAAACCCAGAGGGGTGTGTATATATATGCTTGTATGTGTAGTGTGACCTAAGTGTAAGTAGAAGCAGCAAGACGTACCTGAAACCTTGCATGTTTATGAGAGAAAAATGGACACCAGCAATCCTACCATCATGTAAAACAATTACAGGCTTTTGTTTTACACTCAATTGGCAGGACTGTAGTACCTCCCTGGGTGGTTGCTGTCTACCAACTTACTACCTAGAATTCAACAATTACACCTACCATCCGACTTACGACCTGCTCGACTTACGACCACTCGACTTACGACCGTGTTTTTTATGCCAAATTTCTGGGAAATAAACAACTATTTGTGTTGTACGAAGTGTTTATCCTAGACCTTACAGTATAAAATACAGTACTAACAACATAAAAAGTAAAGTAAAACATGAAATACCAAAATAAAACAATAAAATAGTCATTACAAAAATGTTTTGTTGATATTCAGTAGTAAAGTTCGACTTACGACCATTTCGACTTACGACCCGTTTCTCGGAACCGAACTCGGTCGTAAGTCGGATGGTAGGTGTATATGAATATAATTAGGATAGGTAAATAACCGTCACAGCATGGGAATGTGAAATTAGTGTAAATATGGGTTGCTAGCCATTGTTCATGCTAAATTTTCACCATGCACCTCAAAGCATATTTAAATAAATTTTCTTAGATACTATCAGAGTTTTATACTTGATTTTCTTGGCACCACAGTTATGAGTATTCCTTTTGGGTTGCTTAGTTAATATTCAGAAACAAGACAAGGGGATGAAAAGATAAAATGGAGTGATAAACACAGGATAGTCTTTGCTTTCCTGCAACGTTTGACCTTAACAGAATTTAAATTGCAAGTTATTGATGATGCTAGTTGTTACACAAATTGAGTTTATTTAATATTAATAAAGGTACAACATTTGTACAAGGATTATAACATTTCACATTTGTGGGAGCTTCTGTACCAAGTGAAGTGGTTCAGATTACAATAGGGAGATTGTAGTTAAGTAAGCTAGCAGTATAAGATGCAATTGACATAATAAATGTTTGATTGTTACATATTAAATATTGCATAAAGTTTAAAATATGCTTTTTTGACAATTTTTGAGGTTATTGATAGAAAGATTTTTTGATCTTACAGGTAGATTATTCTAAATTTTGAGTCATCTATGTATAAAATGTCAGATATATATTTTTTTTATAGGGGGGGATGTGGAAGTCGACCTATTAGGCAATATAGGCCTGAACCTGAATTAACATCTCAGACTTTTAGGGGTCGACTTGTGCGCCATCAAATAGGATAATTTACAAAAGGTGACAAACACAAACTATTGTACATAGATTGTATTTTCTTACCTTAGTTTATAATGGACTTGAATTTTTTCCCACAGGCAAAGATGACAGTAGCAAGAGGTACCTTGATGATTCCCCACCATCAAGCATTGGAGAGGATGCTTACAGTTTTGACAGTGGAAACCCTGCCAATGGGGCCTCACTTCAAGTCCGACCCCCAATTAAAACATTTAGTAAACCTCGAAAGTTCTTCAAAAGCAGAAATGCTGAGGGGGTTTCTGAGCCTTCTAAGACCCTATTGGAAAAAGCTCGGGAAAAGGGTTCTGATGGCCTTTATAATATGAAAATTCCTCCTCTGTCTGCTTTTGAGTCCCCAGATTCGAGTCAAGGCAAGAGCATCCTTGAAACAAGCGGAGACAATGTATTTGACAAGCTTGTGACTAGTGCTGTTGCCAGACCAAACAATTCTGAGACTGTGACCAGTTCAAAGTCTACTAGTGGGATCAAGTTAAAGATCTTTAAAAGCAAAAATGTTGCCTCATGTTCTCAGGAAACTTATTCCAGCACAGTGGAATTGCCCAGTGATGATTCCCATGCTGGTAGCGCCTCGACCAGTGTTGCTAGTTCTCCATCCACAAAAGACTTGAGTGAGGAAAACAGAGATTCTTCAGAGGAGCTAGTTCTCTCTGGCTCCCCACTGACTGAGTACAAAGATTCACAAGTCACTTTATCACACATTTCATCAAGAGACACTAATCATTATTCTCCAGATAGATTGGATTCTCCAAAAAAGACACTGAACTCGACCATTAATTCTAGTTATGAGTTTGATGGACTAATGGACCAGAGAACTGGTCTTCCTGTAGATATGTGTATTGATGATAGTTTTAGTCTTTCAGGGAACAAATCAAATAGTGAGACAACTGTGTGTAGTGTTAAAAGATCTTACGGTTCTAAATTTTCAAAATCTGGTGATGTGAATAAATATATCAGTAAAAATATAGTATCGTCTTCATGTAACATTGATAAGCAACAAAATGTTTCAAGTGACCAAGTCTGTGATGGCCCTTTGACTGATGATTTTGACATATTTGGTGTGGGCACGAGTGATTTTGAGGAACCCCAAAAAGTGTCACCGGTTGGGAGAGGGGCTAGTCCTGAGGTGTCTTCAGGTGTAGGAGAGAATGATAACTTTGATCTTTTTAGCACCGATTTTGATGAAAATGAGATTGAAGACCGAACGAGTCTTGACTGTGTTGCTTCGAGTAGTCTGGTTCTTAGAGAGACTACTGCTATGGCTGACACACAGGAAATGGAGGATTTGCTGTTCTCAACTCAGGGTTCACTTATTTCTTCACAGACATCCACCACTTCCTCCTACGAGTCTTTCAGGCCAGGCCACCCTAGCAAGGCGGAGAGTAGTGTAAAAAAGTCTGAGCCACCCCCTCTGGTTAAGAAGAGAAGTATTTTCAAGAGCAGAGATGCTGATAGAGATGCTAAAAAGAGAGCCACGTATCGGCACAAGTGGCATGACCAAGATGAAAAGGATGATGGCTCAAAACAGACTCTGCCAGTTTTGCCTAACAGTCAAAGTGCATCGTCGGCTACCTCAGCATTTGACGAGTTTGACTTTGAAACTCCAAATTTAAAGAGAGTACAATCCTGCCCTGGATCTTGTACAGGGAATCTGGATGACTCTACTGAAGCACAGTCAGTCACCAGTGTAAAATGTGCAAAAGGTGCAAAGCAGGTAAGACTTCTTTTTTGTTTATTTGTTTAGGAAGGGGACACTTCATTGGACAATTTATGACCATGTTAAATTTGCCAGATATTCTCCTAAAATATGTTTGGTGCATTCAGAATTAAATCAATAAATAAAATACTTGTGTTAAATTCAGGTATGTGAAACACTGACAACTTTGTAAAAATAACATGGGAGAGTAAAGGATAAGCAAAAAAATATGAAACGATATGGAAACCATAACCCAGAGTGGAGAAAGGGTTGCTGAGATGTTTTGCCATAAGAAGGGATGGAGTAAGTTAAGTTGAACAGGCATGTGTGAGCATCGACTCGGCTTTTTTTTTTTTTTAATTCGACATGCTGTTAGAACTTAAGTAAGGTAACATCTAACTGGGCCTGAATTCTGGACTTGAGAAGTTAAATGTACTCTGAGAGACTGGTGTTGTGGTTCAAAGAATCATTTGAATTAAGATGTCTCCTATTCTGACAAAATAGGTATTTTATGAATATACTGAATGTGTACTTTGGGTTACTCTTCCTTGTTGGAAAATCATTTGTATGAGAAACCAGAAATGGGAAAAAAATTAGTGAAAGATGGGACAAAACAGTGGAGGTTTTTCCTTTTTTAAGGGTACTTGGTATTAAATCTTTATAATTATTATTATTATTATTATTATTATTATTATTATTATTATTATTTCTTAACAAGTCGGCCATCTCCCACCGAGGCAGGGTGACTCAAAAAGAAAGAAAATCCCCAACAAGAAAATACTTTTATCATCATCCATCACTTTCACCTATCTCACACATAATCACTGTTTTTGCAGAGGTGCTCAGAATACAACAGTTTAGAAGTACAGTGGACCCTCAGCTAACGATATTAATCCGTTCCTGAAAGCTCATCGTTAGCTGAAATTATCGTTAGCTGAATTAATTTTCCCCATGAGAAATAATGGAAATCAAATTAATCCGTGCAAGACACCCCAAAGTATGAAAAAAATAAATTTTTTTACCTCATGAAATATTAATTTTAACCCCTTCAGGGTCCAAGGCAAAAATCTGAAGTGGTGTCCAAGAATTTTCAAAAAAAAAATTTGTTATTTTTTCTTATGAAATGGTAGAGAATCTTTTTGTGAAGGTAATAAAACAAAAAGTATGAAATTTGATGGAAAATTGACGAAATTGTGCTCTCGCGAATTTTGATGTGTCAACGATATTTACAAATCGGCGATTTTGCCGACTTTGACTCCCATTTTAGGCCAATTACATTATTCCAGCCAACCAAATTCTTAGCTATTTCACTAGTATTACTTCTATTCTATCGACTGAGCACAAGAAATCAAGTCAACTGTTTCAACTACAAATGAAAGCAATCGGAAATTGTTAATTTGGCCAATTTAACACAAAGTTCAAAATATTCCAATTTCAAAATAGGGTCCAGAATAAACAATGTAGGTATTCCTGGAACTAAACTAACATTTCCTCTGTTCATTAGTTACGTTTTGAGGCTTTACAAATAAATTCCATTTTGATTTTTTATTTACATAATGAATTTTTATTCACACCAAAAAATAGAAGATTTACTGTTAAGCAATACTGTAATAATTGTATAAATATCATCACCATATTTGTGAATGCATATTAGACCCAACAGCTGGCGTGTATTAGATGTGTGAGATTGTTTGTTTACTCTTGAATATCGGCAAAAATTTAACATTTCTGCTACTTTGAGCTCAGTTTCAAGCCATTTCCAGTGCTAAAACCAATCAAAATCATCTCTATTTCTGTAATATGTCTTCCAATCTATCAATTGAGACCAAGAAATCGTAAATACAACTATAAAAAACATACGAAAAACACTGCAAAGTCGCTGTTTTAATCGAAAAATAATGATTTCAGTTTTTTCTCTCATTATACACAGTGTGCTGCAGGATCTGTCTTTTGTGGTGCACACATACCACATAGATGTATTCTCTCATATCTAGGCCCAAATGTACCACTCAGTTTATCAGAGTGAGCTGAGCTTATGACGTAGATCTACGGTTTAGACCCTGAACGTAAAGCCATAGATCTACGGGATGGACCCTGAAAGGGTTAATACACACAAACTGACACTTACCTTTATTGAAGATCTGGTGATGATTGATGGGATGGGAGGAGGGGAGAGTGTGGAGGTTGTTAATATTTAGAAGGGGAATCCCCTTCCATTAGGACTTGCTACCTCAAGTCCTTTTCCGGGGTTACTTCCCTTCTTCTTTTAATGCCACTAGGACCAGCTTGAGAGTCACTGGACCTCTGTCGCACAACAAATCTGTCTGTAGTGGTCTGTACCTCCTGTTCCTTTAAGATTTGCCTAAAATGGGCCACAACATTGTCATTGTAATTGTCACCAGCATGGCTTGCAATAGCTGTGTTAGGGTGCTTTTCATCCGTAAAGGTTTGCAGTTCAACCCACTTTGCACACATTTCCTTAATCTTTGAAGTAGGTGCATTGGATTCCACAACTGGCATAGGCATCTCAGGGTTAGCCCTAAACCCTTCAAAATCTTTCTTAATTTCCATACTAATTCTCACCCTTTTTATCTCAGGGTTGGCACTAGAAGCTTTCTTGGGGCAAATGGTGACTTATTTTGCAGGTACAATCACTAAAAACGCTGTGATAATATGAAATGTTCCGATTGTATGCGTGGATGCGACTGCACTGGCACCCATGGGACAACTGAGGCATGCTCAGGCCACACGTGGACGCGTCTCGAACGAATCGTGTTGAGTGAGTTTTTTAGCGTTAGTCAAGGCAAAAATTTTGTGTTAAAAGGTATCGTTAGCTGGATTTAACGTTAGCTAATGCCATTGTTAGCTGAGGGTCCACTGTATATACGTATAAAGATACACAACATATCCCTCCAAACTGCCAATATCCTAAGCCCCTCCTTTAAAGTGCAGGCATTGTACTTTCCATTTCCAGGACTCGAGTCCGGCTATATAAAATAACCGGTGTCCCTGAATCCCTTCACTAAATATTACCCTGCTCACACTCCAACAGCACGTCAGGTCTCAAATACCATTTGTCTCCATTCACTCCTATCTAACATGCTCATGCATGCTTGCTGGAAGTCCAAGCCCCTCGCCCACAAAACCTCCTTTACCTTCTCCCTCCAACCTTTTCGAGGACAACCCCTACCCTGCCTTCCTTCCCCTACAGATTTATACGCTCTCCATGTCATTCTACTTTGATCCATTTTCTCGAAATGACCAAACCACCTCAACAACCCCTCTTCAGCCTTCTGACTAATACTTTTATTAACTCCACACCTTCTCCTAATTTCGACACTCCAAATTTTCTGCATAATATTTACACCACACATTGCCCTTAGACAGGACGTCTCCACTGCCTCCAACCACCACCTCGCTGCAGCATTTACAACCCAAGCTTCACACCCATATAAGAGTTGGTACTACTATACTTTCATACATTCCCTTCTTTGCCTCCATAGATAACAATTTTTGTCTGCACATACACCTCAATGCACCACTCACCTTTTTTCCTTCATCAATTCTATGATTAACCCCATCCTTCATAAATCCATCCGCTGACAGGTCAACTCCCAAATATCTGAAAACATTCACTTCTTACATGTAGTAGGTTGGCAAACAGCAACCACCCAGGGAGGTACTGCCGTCCTCCCAAGTGAGTGTAAAACGAAAGCCTGTAATTGTTTTACATGATGATAGGATTGCTGGTGTCTGTTGTCTAAATTATATATGTGCAGGATTACAGATGTCTTGCTACTTTTACTTACTCTTAGGTCACACTACACATACATGTACACGTTTATCTATACACACTCACCTGAGTTTTCTTTGATTTTTATCTTAATAGTTCTTGTTTCTTATTACTTTTCCTTTTATATCCATGGGGAAGTGGAATAAGAAGAGAAGTGTAGAGGAGACAGAGAGATTTTGGGAAATGTTGAGTGAGTGCGTGGAGAGTTTTGAACCAAGTGTGAGAGTATTTGTGGTTGGGGATTTCAATGCTAAAGTGTGTAAAAAGGTTTTGGAGGGAGTAGTAGGTAAATTTGGGGTGCCAGGGGTAAATGAAAATGGGGAGTCTTTAATTGAGCTGTGTGTAGAAAGAAGTTTGGTAGTAAGTAATACATATTTTATGAAAAAGAGGATAAATAAATATACAAGGTATGATATAGCACGTAATGAATTTGGGAGTGTGTGTAAAGGTAGAAAGTTGAAAGTGAGCATAGAAAAGAGTAAGGTGATGAGGGTATCAAATGATTTAGATAAAGAAAAATTGGATATCAAATTGGGGAGGAGGAGTATGGAAGAAGTGAATGTTTTCAGATATTTGGGAGTTGATGTATCAGCGGATGGATTTATGAAGGACGAGGTTAATCATAGAATTGATCAGGGAAAAATGGTGAGTGGTGCATTAGGCCAGTTACATTGTCCCAGTAGACCAATTTCTTAGCTAATTTGTTAGTATATCTATCATTTTATCCATTGAGTGCAAGAAACCACCCGATTAATTATTTCAGCTACCCAATAAAGTGATCAGAAATTGGTAATTTGGCCAATTTCACACAAATTTCAAAATAGGGTCCAGAATAAACAATGCAGGCATTCCTGGCACTAAAATAGCATTTCCTCTGTTCATTTGTTGTGTTCCAGGCTTTACTCGCAAATACCGTTTTGAATTTCTATTCACGGAAAAATAGATTTACTGTTATGCATTATTGTAATGGTATAAATACTATCAACGCATTCACAGACATGTACAGCCTCTCCTCGCTTAACAACGGAGTTCCATTCCTAAGACCACGTCGGTAAACGAATTCGTCGCTAAGTGAGGAGCATACTATAATGGTAGTGGGTTTGTGTCAACCATCTTCGATATCATTTTAATGTTACCTTTTCACCATTTATAATATTTCTGGTATATTTTTAAATAGGGGGATAAGTCTGTTGAGTATACCTGGCAAAGTGTATGGTAGTTATTATTGAAAGAATTAAGAGTAAGACGGAGAATAGGATAGCAGATGAACAAGGAGGCTTTAGGAAAGGTAGGGGGTGTGTGGACCAGGTGTTTACAGTGAAACATATAAGTGAACAGTATTTAGATAAGGCTAAAGAGGTCTTTGTGGCATTTATGGATTTGGAAAAGGCGTATGACAGGGTGGATAGGGGGGCAATGTGGCAGATGTTGCAGGTGTATGGTGTAGGAGGTAGGTTACTGAAAGCAGTGAAGAGTTTTTACGAGGATAGTGAGGCTCAAGTTAGAGTGTGTAGGAAAGAGGGAAATTATTTCCATGTAAAAGTAGGCCTTAGACAAGGATGTGTGATGTCACCGTGGTTGTTTAATATATTTATAGATGGGGTTGTAAGAGAAGTAAATGCAAGGGTCTTGGCAAGAGGCGTGGAGTTAAAAGATAAAGAATCACACATAAAGTGGGAGTTGTCACAGTTGCTCTTTGCTGATGACACTGTGCTCTTGGGAGATTCTGAAGAGAAGTTGCAGAGATTGGTGGATGAATTTGGTAGGGTGTGCAAAAGAAGAAAATTGAAAGTGAATACAGGAAAGAATAAGGTTATGAGGATAACAAAAAGATTAGGTGATGAAAGATTGGATATCAGATTGGAGGGAGAGAGTATGGAGGAGGTGAATGTATTCAGATATTTGGGAGTGGACGTGTCAGCGGATGGGTCTATGAAAGATGAGGTGAATCATAGAATTGATGAGGGGAAAAGGGTGAGTGGTGCACTTAGGAGTCTGTGGAGACAAAGAACTTTGTCCTTGGAGGCAAAGAGGGGAATGTATGAGAGTATAGTTTTTACCAACGCTCTTATATGGGTGTGAAGCATGGGTGATGAATGTTGCAGCGAGGAGAAGGCTGGAGGCAGTGGAGATGTCATGTCTGAGAGCAATGTGTGGTGTGAATATAATGCAGAGAATTCGTAGTTTGGAAGTTAGGAGGAGGTGCGGGATTACCAAAACTGTTGTCCAGAGGGCTGAGGAAGGGTTGTTGAGGTGGTTCGGACATGTGGAGAGAATGGAGCGAAACAGAATAACTTCAAGAGTGTATCAGTCTGTAGTGGAAGGAAGGCGGGGTAGGGGTCGGCCTAGGAAAGGTTGGAGGGAGGGAGTAAAGGAGGTTTTGTGTGCGAGGGGCTTGGACTTCCAGCAGGCATGCGTGAGCGTGTTTGATAGGAGTGAATGGAGACAAATGGTTTTTAATACTTGACGTGCTGTTGGAGTGTGAACAAAGTAACATTTATGAAGGAGTTCAGGGAAACCGGCAGGCCGGACTCGAGTCCTGGAGATGGGAAGTACAGTGCCTGCACTCTGAAGGAGGGGTGTTAATGTTGCAGTTTAAAAACTGTAGTGTAAAGCACCCTTCTGGCAAGACAGTGATGGAGTGAATGGTGGTGAAAGTTTTTCTTTTTCGGGCCACCCTGCCTTGGTGGGAATCGGCCAGTGTGATAATAAAAAAAAAAAAAATAGTTTTAAATGTTTATATAGCATTGTACTATATATTGTAATACACAGAATTGAGGAAATCAGCTCTAATATACATTATTTAGGTATGCGTACTATTCAGAGAGCCCGTCGTAAGCCCGAGTCGTCGGTAAACGAGTACATCGCCAAGCGAGGAGAGGCTGTATAATGTTAGTGGGTTTGTGTCCACCATCCTTTATATTATTTTAATGTCACCTTTGCACCCTTTATAACATTTCTGGTATATTTTTAAATGTTTATACAGTAGTGTACTGTATATTGTAATAAACAAGATAGAGGAAATAAACTCAAATATACTCCATTATTTAGGTATGCATACTGGTCAGATCAGCCCTTTCTACCTCAATCTCTTGCTACCCTCTACCCCCGCACTATCCCCTGCCCCGCTGCTTTCTGTAACCTACTGATCATCCCTCCCCCCTTCTGCCGCCCAGTACCCTCACTTCCTTCCCTACTCTGCAGTGCTGTATAGCCCTTGTGGCTTAGCGCTTCTTTTTTATTATAATAATAATAATGCATACTGGTCAGAGAGCCTGTCGTAAGTCCAAGTCATCAGTAAATGAGTACTTTGCTAAGTGAGGAGAGGCTGTATAAGACCGACCAGTTGGACAAGCATTGGACGAGTGATGTGATTTGTTTACTCTGGAATATCAACGAAAATTGAATATTTCCACTATTTTGAGCTCAATTTCAAGCTACTTCCAGTCTTGAAACCATACAAAATCATCACTATTTCTGTAATGTATCTTCCATTCTATCAAATGATGCCAAGAAACCGAGAACACAACCACAAAAGCCATTCAAAAATACACTGCAAAATTGCTGTTTAAACAAAAAACACGGTCGCATTTTATTCCTATTATGCCCTGTGTGGGGCAGGAATTTTTTTTGTGGTGCACACTTACTACATTGACTCATTCTCTTATATCTAGGCCCAGATTTACCACTCCATGCTTATCTGAGTGAGCTAACCTCATCATGTAGTTCTACAGCACTGACCGAGACTTCAAACCCATAGTATGTCATGAGCTCAGCTCACTCAGAGAAGCTGTGAGTGGTAAATTTGGTCCTAGCTCTCTTTTACTTCATTGGCACTCCCACCAGGGTTGGGTGATATAAAAAAAAAAAAAGTAGCAGTATTCATTCACTAGCCATCTTGCAATTATATATATATATATATATATATATTTCAGTTTTACACAGTGGTGAAGAATGTGAAAAAAACACATCAGCTTCAAGAATCTGGAGAATTTCAAGAATTCAATGATGATGTGGAGTATTTCTTGGATGCCTTACGACCCTCTATGCCCGTCTCCACCCGGTGTCTGGCTGCATTAAATCTTGCTCAGAAGTGTATGGTGCCTGCTTTTAGGATGCATCTGCGAGCACACGGTACCGTAATCAAGTTCTTCAGTGCCCTATCTGATGCCCATTCTGACCATGTAAGTTGATTTGTGGAGCAAAACTCCTGGATATGCTTAGAATAGGATTTGCTGAGTTACAGTACCTTCACTGTTTAATACCTAACCCAGACTGAACTAATTCTAATTTAAATTGACTTAATATAAAAACCACATTGCTTCGTTCAAGTCCTGCAATCTGCTCTATGCAGAGTAAAACATTATCCAAGAAAAAGCTTGTTCTTCAAGATTTGCCTTTTATTTGGTTCTTTCATCAATGAAAGACCTTGCACTTTTGTGGAGGATTATTACTAAAAGCTAACCATTGATGTAATGAAGGATATGTGGTTGTATGTGATTTACACCAAATTAAAATGACATAATTGGCACATGCCACCCCCCTCTTTCCCTTCCCATTTCTTAATCCCTTTCACCTCCCTTCTCCCTTCAACTTTCTATCCCCTCTCCCCATTCCCATCTTCCCCATTTCTAACCTCTCTTTCCCATTTCTTCTCCCCACTTCTCAACTCTTTCTCCACATTCCCTACTTACCTCTCTCCTATTTTATGACTATATTTTTTTACATATATTCTCTATCTGTCACTGCTGTGGTTGAGTATGGTTAGAGAAGTTTAGGCATATGCAGTAGCACCAGGACTATCTTCTCAAATTCCCTCCCTCCTATTGTGACAACACTCCTGTACATATTCTCTCCTCCCTCTGACTGTTATGAAAAGGATTTTGGGTACCTGGGCATATTGTATGGACAAGTTGAGGGGTAATTTCATGCCTAAGCTGGGTTTGCATTGAAATCTGTAGCATACAGTAGGGCCAGACTTACATGGGAGGTTAGGTTCCAGGCTACTGCCATAAAGCTGAAATCACCGTAAAGTGGAACACCTTTTTTCCACTTGTGTAGTATTTATATGCATTTATGACGAGTGTACACTAACGTATATTAAGTTAGCAATAGAACTAGGCATTAAAAACAACAATAAAAAAGTGAAATACACATATAGTACACTCATTACTTACCTTAAAATATTTGTAATCTTAATGTAGGGTGAAATGAGTAGTATTTATCGTAAGAAATTGGGTGTGGGAGGTATGGTAGTCAGCCAGGCCAGGCTACCCTGCCCCACCCACACACAGATTATCATACATAGCATATGTGTAAATATCCTAGGATAACTCAAAAAAATCAGTGACTTATTTCCATTGGGGTCCCTGTATCTGTACCATATTCTACTCTATGCCATATGCAATTCCAAGGGGAGTGAGTACATCCCATGGCCCTACACCTTGAATAGACAGTGAAAGTGACGATTATGTGCCTACAATTGAGATGGATAGACTACGTGTGTCAGCAGGTGATGGTGGTGCCACCAGCATACAAATGTGCAGCATGCAGCAACAGCCATAACTGGGAGTGAGTCTGGGACCCAAGCTGCTGACTCAGCAGTTCCAGGACAAAGTGCATTGTCATCCACTGGTGGAAGGAGATGACTGTGGCTGAAATGTCTTTGTTTTTGCAACAATAATGCTTATGCCTCATGTCTATAAACAATATAAAATCATATTGGTCCACAGATGAGTAAGACACCACTGTGCATGACACCTTGTTTCAAAGACTTTCACAGACTGTAGCAGTTCTCGGAACATGTCCAGTGACTGTACATATGTAAATATGTAATAGAACATTACTAATATGTATACAACATTTTTGCATGTTTTTTGTTGCAAACATATGTTGTAAACAGAATGATGAAAATATTAGTGCGGTTATTGTGTTGAATACAACGAGTGTACATATATACATTATGCATTATATTGGTCTTGGGCCACAAATGTTACTGGAAAAAAAAAATCAGAGAAGAAAAGAAAAAAGAACAAAACAGTGAATAAAAAGTATACGATTTAACGGAAGTCACGGATGTTGCTGCCACCAATTAATCCGTTTCAGACACCCAAAAGTATTAAAAAAAATTGTTTTCTACATGAAATATATATTTACCTACATGGACCAGCAGGTCATTTCAAATTTCAAAAAACTGTTCACCAAAGAAGTGGTTTCAAAAGTGCTTTGAAGTGACCTCAGACACTCGACTGACCCTAAGGGAGTTTTGGAAAGATCACTTTAGTATCCTCAGTTGCATGAACCTTATAGGTAAGGCTTGGGAGGGAGTGACTAACAGGACCTTGAACTCTTCTTGGGGGAAATTGTTGCCAGAATGTGTACAAGAGGGATTTTGAAGGGTTTGGGGCTAACCCTGAGAAGCCTATGCCAGTTGTGGAATCTATTGTGGCATTGTGGCTAAGAGGATGTAAGTAGCATGCTGAAAATTTCCAGCCAAGACAGGACTCCCAGCAATGGTTTCAAGTTGGAAAAATTCAGATTCAGGAAGGATATAGGAAAGCACTGGTTTGGTAATAGTTATGGATGAGTGGAACAAACTCCCGAGTACAGTTATTGAGGCTAAAACGTTGTGTAGTTTTAAATTTTTTTTTTTTCAACAAACTGGCCGTATCCCACCAAGGCAGGGTGGCCCAAAAAGAAAAATGTAAGTTTCTCTTTTTAAATTTAGTAATTTATACGGGAAAGGGGTTACTAGCCCCTTGCTCCCAGCATTTTAGTCGTCTCTTACAACACGCATAGCTTACAGAGGAAGAATTCTGTTCCACTTCCCCATGGAGATAAGAGGAAATAAACAAGAACTAGAAAGAAAATAGAAGAAAACCCAGAGGGGTGTGTATATATATGCTTGTACATGTATGTGTAGTGTGACCTAAGTGTAAGTAGAAGTAGCAAGACGTACCTGAAATCTTGCATGTTTATGAGACAGAAAAAAGGACACCAGCAATCCTACCATCATGTAAAACAGGCTTTTGTTTGACACTCACTTGGCAGGATGGTAGTACCTCCCTGGGCAGTTGCTGTCTACCAACCTACTTTTAAGTTTTAAAAATAGGTTAGGTGAATACATGAATGGGTGTGGGTGGGTGTGAGTTGGACCTGACTAGCTTGTGCTGCTGGGTCTGGTGCTGTGCTCCTTCCTTGAGTGGAGGTGACCAGACTGGGTGGGTCATTGGGCTAATCTGGGGGGGGGGGGTCATTGGGCTAATCCGGGAGGGGGGACATGGACCTGCTCCACATAGGTCAATAGGCCTGTTGCAGTGTTCCTTCTTTCTTATGTTCTTATGTAAGAGTTGGTGGAGGATGACAATGAAGAACTAACCACTGATGAGCTGCAAGAGCATCTGCAACAGCAAGAGGCCACAACTGAGGAAATTGCTTCAGAGGAGGGGAGAGAGAAATTGAGGAAGTTGCCGTCCTCAACGCTTAAGGAAATTTGTACAATGTGGACAAAGGTGCAAACTTTTATGGATGAAAATCACCCTGACACAGCTATTGCAAGCCGTGCTGGTGACTTTTACAATGACAATGTTGTGGCCCATTTTAGGAAAATCTTCAAGGAATGTGAGGTACAGAGCTCTATGGACAGATTTTTGGTGTTACGGAGGTTCAGTGACTCAAGTTGTTCCCAGTGGCATTAAGAAAAGAAGGGAAGTAAGCCCGGAAAAGGACTTGGCACCTGAAGTCCTTATGGAAGGGGATTCTCCTTCCAAAAATAATACACCATCATCATCTCCCCTCCTCCCATCTCATCACTACATCTTCAATAAAGGTAAGTGTCATTTATTCTTCATTTAGTACAGTATTTATTGTGCATGTATCCCTCTTTTTCTGTGTAAGAAAATGTATATTTCATGTGAAAAAAAAAATTTCATACTTTTGGGTGTCTGGAACAGATTAATTGGATTTCCATTATTTCTCATGGGGAAAATTAATTAGACTAACGATAAATTTGCCTGAAGATAAGCTCTCTGGAACGGATTAATATCGTTGGTTGAGGGTCCACTGTATTAGTATTATTATTACCATCAACATGCAGTGAAACCCTTCTCTGTATGTTCTGCAATGAGTCTATATCCATCCTGTAGTAAGGAGACCAAAACTGAGCGGCATAATGTAAATGAGGTCTCACTAGTGAGGTATAGAGCTGTAAAATAACTTTTGGATTTCTGTTACTTATACTTCTAGAGATAAATCCTAGTAATCTGTTAGCCTTGTTGCACATACTAAGGCACTGCTGTCTTGGCTTTAGATTTCTGCTTACCATGACTCCCAAGTCTTTTTGACATTCTGTATGATCAAGCTCTACTTCACCTAGTTTATAGCTTTGAGGGTTATTTTCATTACCAAGGACTAGTACCTTACACTTATCCACATTGAACTTCATCTGGCATTTTTCAGACCAAGACATTAATTTGTCCAAATCCTCCTGAAGTTCATTGCTATCCTCGTCAGAATTAATTATTTGGCATATCTTTGTATCATCAGCAAATTTACTCATGTCACTCGTAATTCCTTCATCAAGGTCATTAATGTAAATTATGAACAAGAGTGGGCCTAAAACTGATCCTTGTGGAACACCACTAGTGACTAATCCCCATTCTGATTTGACCTCATTAATGGAAAAACTCTGCTTTCTATTGGTAAGCCATGCCTCTATCCATGCTAAAACTTTCCCTCCTATACCATGAGCTGCCACTTTTCTTAAGAGTCTTTTGTGAGGTACTCTATCGAAGGCTTTACTAAAATCCAAATAAACGATATCATATTCTTTATCACTGTCCACTCCCTCACTTGTCAGGCAGGAATGACCTCTCGTGAACCCATGCTGAGATTCATTAATCAAATTATGCTCTTCAAGGTGACTTCTAATAATGTCAGCTATAATTGATTCTAATAACTTGCCCACTATAGATGTCAGGCTTATTGGATGGTAATTTGAAGGAGTGGACTTGTCCCCTGATTTGAATATATTAACCACATTAGCCATCTTCCACAACTCTGGCACAACACCGGTAAGGATGGGCGCATTAAACACACTTGTTAATGGCTGGCTAAGCTCCATTTTGCATTCCTTAACCCTTTCAGGGTCCAAGGCCAAAATCTGAAGTGGTGCCCCAGTGTCCAA